GGGGGGGGGGGGGGGGGGGGGGGCAAATACAACCACAACAGTTTCACGCGGCCAAGCATGTCGCGGACAGCCAAGGGAGGTGAGTCGGTTTAGCAAGTCGCTGCGATTAAAGGGGGCGAGAGTTTTGCACCGGGGGGCGGTCTGCAAGTTCGGCGTCGACACGCCGTGCAGAACGCGGATGATGAACCCGTACATTTACACTGCAGGCAAGCACCCTTCACGTGCAAAGCGAATACATTAACCCTCTGTTCTTGCCACGTACCCACCGTGAGTTTGCGAAGGATCGCACGGGGGGCGATCATGTCTGGCAATTTGCGACAACCCCGGATCCCAGTGCAGAATCAGATCTTGATGCCCATAAGTTGCTTCTCCTCATCGTGCGATAAACTCGATCCTGGGTGGCACTGACCAAACCCTCAGGCTGGAGACAAAACCGTAACATGTACAACTCAAGAACAACCCCGTACTGCTGTAGCTCGAGGTCACACGCCCGCGATCTCACGCCAGAGTTGGAGTTTCCTCTAAGACATCACGCCCACCCCTGTTAGAAAAATACGCCCATCCCTGTGCGAAATCGCCAATCTCCGAGCGAAAAACGAACAGCAGTTGCACCAAACGTATTTCACAAGTGTTTTTGTTTGAACCATGTTAAAGTATCCCTTGCACGACAATTGCGGACTGCACGTTGCTGCTGTTGTGTCGTCGCTCGCAAGCCCAAGCCACGGCGTCACACATACTCCACCACTGCCGCCAGCGGTCTTCTATATCTACCCCCGACGGCAGCTAGTTGTTTCCAATTGCTCTAACGACGGGCTTTCGCTACGACCAGCGACCAGAGGGCACAGCATAGCACGACGAATCACGCCTACAGGAGTAGTCTACCTTCCCCCCTTGTGTAGCAAGGGCAACCGCCCTGGTCTCCTCACAAGACTTGACGCTCCATCTCACCTCGATCGATGGATGTCCGAGGGCTCTTGTGTACCCTCCTGGTCGCCGACCCCGGCGCGCCCGCGTTCCTCTTCGTCCTCCCCGAGCTCGGTGACGTCATGCTCAGCGCCGAGCCCCCGCTTCCGGCGGCGGCCACCGCCCTGCTCGAGAACTCGAGGCGGGGCTTGACTTTCGTGGCGGTCCGCGTCATGCGGCCGGACACCGCGATCGGCTGCGAGAGTTTGTGCTGCAGACAAGGGCAACAACACGTTGTTTTTTGCGAGTGTTTTTTAGTTGTGTGTTTCAGCAGGTAGGTGGTCGTGTTTCTCGCAGTCGTGGTAGAATATCTCTTCAGGCCAAGGGTGCGGTTCAGAACAGCAGCAGTAGTGCCGCGGGGCTCAGGGATTGTAAGGTGTGTATTGATTCTACCATAGGGTTTGCGAGGCTGTTGGCGTTCAGGAAAGATGTACAGCCGCGTGTGTCTTGAATGCGCTTGTCAACAACGGATACTCCGGGTATGAACCAACCCAAATGCTCCTCCACACCAGCGACAACTGCCAAAGGGTAGGTATTGGTACACGTGTTCACACGGGACATGTACAGTATCCCTCATACAATCCGAATAGAAAATGAACAAATGATCACCCGAACATACGGAAATGAAAAATAAATAACCCGAGCACGGATATATATCGCAGGAACAGTTGTTCACCGTTGTCCGCCAGTGAGCCTTTACCCTAGCAAACATAATGGTACCGGCCGTGTTCAAGTACGTATACATGAACCTGTGTCCCTGGAAACAGAAACCAGTGTAATACGTGTCTGCACACGTGCAGCGGGGCACTCGGGAGTCAGGCGCAACCGATTTCCACCAATTCGCGATGGCAACTCGCCAAATAGCAATAGGATGCGATATAAGAGCTTGAATGCATCGCTGCTACCATAACAAGCGGCGTCGACACTGCTGTGTAGCCCCACTTGTACCCTCCCCGCGCGCCGTGCGTGTACAGACAATACATGCGCTACATGCACCGCGACACATGCAGCGCATACATAAGCGATGGAAAACCCACACCAAATATGTCAAGCAACAGATACCCCCTTCATCAAGCTGTGGGGTGCCATCAGAAGCGTTTCTCCTAGTGAGAGGATATTGTACACAACGGTATAACACAAGCAGACCCAAGGGCCACGGCGGTTGCATTGTGGAGCGAGGAGAGTTGTGAACGAACAACATCACACACATAGCTACGTTGGGAATCAACCCGGAATACTCGCTGTGCCAACAGCTTCGCCACTACCACCCAAAGCTGACACATTTAGCAACGAAGACACCCCTCACCGATAGGCGCCTAGACGACGGAGCCGCCGTTCCCGAGGCGGCCCTGCTGCCGCCGTTCGAACGGCCGGTTCCCGCGGGCGCGGTCCCGGATCTCGTAGCCCGGGCGCGGTTACCACTCGCCCCGCCTGAGCCTCGCCTGGTGGTGCGCCCGCCGCTAGCTCCTACCGCCGCCACCGCTCCCGCCCTTGGTCGCGATCGGGTGATCGCCGTCGTCGCCACCCTGCCACCGGAAGTCGCCGTGCTCCTGCCGCCTGTTGCCCGGCTGCTGCCGCTGCCGCCGCCGCCGCTAGCGGCCGTTGCGGTTCCCGTTCGAGACGGAGACAGCACGGCCGGGCGAGCGCCCGCACGGGTCGTCCCTGTCGCTGCCGCCGGCGGAGCGCCCTGACTGCTTCTGCTCCCGCTGCTCCCGCTGCTTGGCTCGGAGGCGCCGATGGTGGCGGCGGGCCTTCCTCTCGGCGACAGCGATCCGGCTGCTGTCGTCGTCGCCGCCGGGGGGGGCTTGAATCCGAAGCGGCTCACGCCGGGGGCGGTGGGCGGCTTCACCTTGGAAGGGGTCACGGCCGCGGAGGACTGCTGCAGTTCCGGTGCCACCACCGCCGCCGTGGCGGCGGCGGCGGCGGCGGCGGCGGCGGCGGCGGCGGCGGGTGCTGCTGCTGCTGGAGCACCGCCGTTGTCGGCGGGGGTGAGGGGGGAGCGTACTGCTGCTGTCTCAACGGTGGAGGACTGCTGCACCAGCTTTGCGGGGGGAGTGCCGGGTCCGCCGCCGCCGCCGGTTGCGGAGCCTGTGGAAAGGCGCACCACGCCGCTGCTGCCCTCGCACTCGTTCTCGCTGCCCTCGTGAGAGGCGCGGCGAGGGCTCCGCCTTCTTCCCTGCCTTGAATCTAACATCGCAAGAGAGGGGGTCCTATCCAACAAGCCCGGGCTTCCCCCTTGACAGGAGCTCTCTTGGGCACGCACCTCTTCTTCCCGCTGCTGTTGATGTATCCTGCTTTTCCTCGCGCTAACGGGTATTCCTCCTCTCGCTAAAACAGGAAATCGGGACCAAGTCAACGAACCTCGGTTCGACAGCAGCTCCGTTACTCTCTCCTGAGGACCAAAACACCCTGAAACCTGGTGTGCGATTATCCCCGAGGACCAACCTCTCGTGGCCACCTGCTTCGCGCGTGCTCGCAGGATGATACGTGCAAGGATGAGGAGAGCAGGTGCAGCAGGCCGGGTTTATTTTGCAACCGTCACACAGGGAGCTCGCAGATGAGAAACTATGATACTCTTTTATACTGTCGCGAACCCCCTCTGCCTCGCGACCAATTGTCCACGCGAGCAGCGAAGAGGCGCTGGCTTCCACCACATGTTCTCCCTTTGTTCGACCAGCAAGCTTCTCCTACCGCTGGCCTTGTGTGTGCGTGGATCCTTCGGTTTGCGTGTTCTCTTGACGCCCGTATCTCGAAGAATAGCAGGAGAAGGAGCTGTCAGAGGGCAGGCACCGTTCCGGTGAGATCTTTTCTTACAGCAGTGCGTGTGCGGTGTACGTTGGGTACCGATCAATGGTGGGTATGGCGTGGGTACAGCCAGTGTTTGGGAGAGTAGGTGCCGGCTGGTTGGGCCGGTTGCATGCAGTAACATACGCTTGTTGTATGTCACACGCACGCTTTCGAAGCGATCGATGAGATTTATTCAGTTGGTGTGATAGTGCTTATGGTGCAGCCACCGAGGTTTTTGATGTTGTCTGTGGCAATGGGTGCTGAGAAGAGTACACGCTGTAGGTGCCAACTCTGCTGTACGTATGTACCCCACTCTCTTTGTCGTGCATGTTTGTGCTGCACCTCGCATGCGCTGACCTCCACCACGAAACATGCGACAGGATGCCTTTACGCATGCGTTCAACACCACGGTAGATCCTGTGCATGACCTCCCGCCTCTGTATCTTCTCGTTAGGATTGGCACCACAGCAATCATGAGCTACGGCGGCGGCGGCGGCGGCGGCGGTGGCGGCGGGAGAGGAGAGTTTTACAAGAACAAGTACGGTGGTGGAGGGAGAGGAGGCGGCGGCGGGCGAGGGCGTGGTGGTGGAGGTGGAGGTGGAGGCGGGGGGCGCGGAGAGTATTATAAAAACAAGTGAGTTTAGCTGGTGGCTTCCCGTTCGGCTCGAAATTCGCTGTCCGTTGGGATGTTCCTGCAGGCTCCGCCAACCAGCAGCAAGAGCTATTTTAGCGACATTCTCCGATCGTCAGAACTCTACGTTTGGCGACTCTCCATCTGCCGTCGGAAATGCTGCCCTGTGTGTTGTTAGCTACCATCATTGCGGTCAGAGCACCAAGGAGAGAGGGCAGCAGTTGTGGACGAATCTTAGGCGTCGTGATAAGATCACCCCCGCCGGCACTCGTACGATGGGCACAGCGCCGGTAGGCACAACGGCAATTGCGCATACTTAGAGGAGCCTTCTTGGCGTGGTACATCCCTCCCGCCCCCACACGTCATGGGAGGCGAGGCATTCGAGAACACCTTTGTTGCATACGTCGTGCGTGCACTTCGAGGTGGGATTTAACACCTCCACATGCTCCTGTCCACCGCGTGGAACCAGCGCAAAGCCGCCACGGCCCCGATGTCTTCCTTGTATGACTGGGACTAAGAAACATCCTGGTCGACTCGCTAGGGCTTACTCAAAGATGTCCCTAGCAAGAGACGATGGAAGACGTCATACAATAATTTTCTCGCAAGAGATGAGGATGCACTATGTAAATACGTCATGCACGCCCATAAGCACACGCCGACACATGCCTCGTTGCTACGCGTTCGACTTACCCCCCCCCTACCGCTGGTTGTCGATAACATGGCACGTGTTCGTGAACCAGGTACGGTGGGGGCGGCAGGGGTGGAGGGGGCGGCAGGGGAGGAGGGGGCGATGCCTTCTCCGGCGGTGGCGGCGGTAGCGCTGACTTCATGATCTCGCGAAGCACCAACAGGTAGGTTTGTCCGCTTGCCGCTGCGGCTGTACCAGAGGCTGTGTGTGTGTGTGCCAAAACGGTCTCAGCAGAATAGACGAATAAAGCACCGCGATGCAGGTTTTATAGGTCCAACAACAACAACCTCTCCGCTACTGCTGCTGTACCGTCGTCTTTTTTTTAATCTTCCCGCCCAAGCCTGCTGTGCTGCACACACCCAGTTCAGCGGCTGTGCTGCGTACTGCGGAAGGAACTGATTTCCCCTTTGGCGTAAAGTTGGATCGTAGCAATCAACATCGTCGCAGGCTCCCTGGGTTATAGAAACCCCACTTCCCGCTTGCGATGCTTCCGCGAATAAACGCGCGTGACGCAGGAGCGGCTCGGCGCAGCAGCTGGTAGACTCCCTGCGGCGCATGGACAACCGGCCGTACCCGGCCTACAAGGACACGGAAGGGTCCTGGACGTTCAACAGTCAGCAGGTAGGTGCTGCTACAGCAGTACTGCTATTGGGCTATTGAGAAGAGGCAACGGAGAGGAGACAAAACTGCTGAAGCACTTGTTGTGTGTGTAGACAGCCGAGATGAGACGACCTGTGCCACCTGTTTGTGTTTGGTTGTTTGCATCGATGCTAGTCGTTGGCTGACAAATGGCAAGACGTCGGTCTCAATGCGGCTGAACCTAAAAAACACCTTTTAAAGTTGTGCGTGTGTGCTTTCGTCCTGTCTTATCTGTTCTGGGTGCTAATCGGCACTTACCGAACGTGTGAAGCACCAGTCTGGGGCACACGGGAAAGTAAACACGAAAGTTTTGTTGTGCAGCTCTTTTCTGCGGATACGGTTACGTTCGTCCAGGCGGTGTGTCATACGCGTGCCACATACTCTGGACGTGTACCGTCACAACCCAGAGTATGCTCCGGAAAAACTTTGGTAAAACGCATGCTGTGTTGGAGCGTGTGTCCGTCCACGCCAGGTACCTCCGAGCGGGGTCCGTACCAACGCGAACTGTGTGCCCGTACGCATATTTTGCCGTCCATAGTATAATCAACTTGTTATACAATCCCACGTTAGTGTTTCGCCATTTACGTCGGAGCTTTTACCAAGTCGGCTTTCATCATAGTCCAACATTCCAAACGTTTTCTGTTTCCCCCCCAGCATGACTACACCCGAAATCAAAACATGGCCCCCGTGTAGCCCTATTTTTTTCCCGCGCCAACTTGCCCGCACCCAAAATTCCGTTTCAGCTCGTGCCTGGCTCAAATTGGTCCTTGCTGCTTGTTTTCTCTTTGTTCGTTACATCCAACCATCCGCACACAACCATTCGCACCCCCGGTCCAACGTTTACGGGATGACAGGGTATGCCGGACTTCATGCTCTGCGTGGACAAGATCCAGGCCGACCCGTTCGCCGCGCCGTCCCGTCTTCACGTGGTAGTGCCCGGGGAGGTGGCCGGCTTCCCAGCGGAGGCTTACTCGACCAAGGTACGGGTTTCAGCATGCATCCATGCCTGCATGCGGGAGAGAATATGGAAAGGGCTTGTGTTGTACGTGGAGTAGGCGTTCAAGGTGCGCATGCATGCGGAAGCGCAAATCAGAAGGTCGTGTGCTGTACGTGGCGTAGGCGTTCTCGACGAAGGTGTGCATGCGTGCGTGTATGTGCGCAGGGGAGCCGAGAAAAAGGCGTGTGTTTTATGTACTTGTAGTGCATGGGTGGGATGCATCCTATTTTTTTTTCATGCATGCATGCTGGAGAGCGAAAAGGGCGTGTGCTGTACGTAGCGTATGGGTTAGCACGCATCCTTTTTCACCCCGACTCATGCCCTCCCTCTCAAATCGACACGGGATCAAAACTACCCCACAATCAGGCCAGGTCTACAACATCTTCCAGCGGCCTATCCCGCCGCTACCTGGGCCAAAGCAAGGGCAACATTATCTTCATGCTCCCCCTTGACCCGATCCCACTCCGCTCCCCCGTCCCTTCCCACTCGACCCCCCTCCGCCCCCCGAACACCCTATCAGGTCCGAAAGGTGGCGCTCTGTGACTTCCTAACCCGCCGCTTCTTGGAGGCCGCCAGGCAGGACGGCGCGGACCAGAAGGCCGGTGGCGGGGGTTGGGGAGGGGCCAAGGGCGGGGAGATCACCATTGACGAGCCGGGGCAGCACATCGTGAGAGCCGTCGCGTGTACCACATATGTACCACTGCACGATTGGTTCCCTTTCCCAACAAGCCGATTTTTCAAGCACCGTGTACTCTTAAAACCACGAATTTGAACACGATTAAAAGTGAAGCACCGTGTACTTGAAACCACGAGTTACACCCACGAGCTCTCGAATTTTCGACCCACATCTTGGAGTGCCCCAACCCCCCTCCGTCAGAGGCTGCCCGACTGCCGCCCCGGGCGGTCACCGTGGGCCGCCCCCCTCCCCGGACCGTACTTCTGTTGTTGTTTTTCTCCTTCTTGGTGTTGTTGCTGTGTGTTTTTTTGTCTTCGCCCTTCACAAAGTATGTTTTTCACTCGCCAACCCCCCTAACGAGCACTCAGCAGAGCAAGCACCACGCGCTTGTTGGTCTACCCCCTTTTGCCCCCGTGACCCTTATTTCACACCCCCGACCTTTCCTACTGCCCCTTACCTGCGCTTCCTATGGGAATAATTCTCCGTCCTCTCGAGGACACACTGTCAATGGTCTGAAAACGAAGGCACGCAAAACACGAGTACCCTCCTCTCACCCTTCACCCCAACCTTGCCCCCCTCCCCCCCCCCCCCCCCCCCCCCCCCCCCCCCCCCCCCCCCCCCCCCCCCCCCCCCCCCCCCCCCCCCCCCCCCCCCCCCCCCCCCCCCCCCCCCCCCCCCCCCCCCCCCCCCCCCCCCCCCCCCCCCCCCCCCCCCCCCCCCCCCCCCCCCCCCCCCCCCCCCCCCCCCCCCCCCCCCCCCCCCCCCCCCCCCCCCCCCCCCCCCCCCCCCCCCCCCCCCCCCCCCCCCCCCCCCCCCCCCCCCCCCCCCCCCCCCCCCCCCCCCCCCCCCCCCCCCCCCCCCCCCCCCCCCCCCCCCCCCCCCCCCCCCCCCCCCCCCCCCCCCCCCCCCCCCCCCCCCCCCCCCCCCCCCCCCCCCCCCCCCCCCCCCCCCCCCCCCCCCCCCCCCCCCCCCCCCCCCCCCCCCCCCCCCCCCCCCCCCCCCCCCCCCCCCCCCCCCCCCCCCCCCCCCCCCCCCCCCCCCCCCCCCCCCCCCCCCCCCCCCCCCCCCCCCCCCCCCCCCCCCCCCCCCCCCCCCCCCCCCCCCCCCCCCCCCCCCCCCCCCCCCCCCCCCCCCCCCCCCCCCCCCCCCCCCCCCCCCCCCCCCCCCCCCGCGCGCGCGTGTTGGTTGCCGCGAAAAACACAACACAAATCGCTCATCTATCATAGTTGGAGAGGAGCAGCGTCGTGGTCCACGAATCGGACGGATCGGTCGAGGCCAGGTTTACCGTGGGGATGCCCGCGAGAGGTGAGAGCCAAGTCAGGTGGTCCAGTAGTCTACGCAGGTTTTCCAAGGACGCAAACATTTTGGATGAAGTATAGAGTCGGCAAACTTGGGGTAGGGTTAGGGTCTGCGTACTGCGTACCCCCTGTCTGGTCTCTTCTGGCAATTAATTTACTTTTGCTTAGGTAGTCCTGGTCACCACCATACGGGGTTCCGCTGGAGGCGGACGAGAACGGGGGTTGGGGTGGGGAAGTGAAAGAGGGAAGTGCGTTGTTGACGGAGTCGATGGCAGGTGCTATTCCGGAGCCAGTTGTCGGGCTCGCCAGTAGAAGTTCGTGTTTCGTTCGCCGCAACGTCTTGAACGCCGCACCTCGTCTTGAGTGCTGTATGGTCGTTGTCCCGGTTTAGCGGTCTATACAAGAGTTTCACAAAATGCTATAAATAACCGCTGTTGAGGGCGTCGCCTCTAAAACCGAATTGACAGGATATTGTAGTTAGGAGTTTGACTACCGAGGTGCAGCTGTGCCACGAGATTTTGGGACCGCTATACCAGGGCATCCCGCTAGACAGGGAAGGAACCGCGAAACCGGACCCACAACACTACCTCGTTCTCCCCCCGCTTGTGTAGGGAGGTCGATATGCGGGGGTTGGGCCGTGGAAATCCTGGGTCAGACAGTGCCTGAGCTCATCCGGAGGAGTCTCATCTTCTCCAACCTGGATGGTGAAGCCCTTAGGCAGCACGTGCTCTCTGCCGAGGACCAGGTAAGGGAATGAAATAGCACCTGTGGCACTGTGTTGTTGTTGTTGTTGTTGTTGTTGTTGTTGTTGCTGCTGCCGCCGCTGCTGCTGTACAGCTGTCGTCGCCGCCGTTGTCCCCACGGCTGCCGCGCCGCCGCCGCCGCCGTTCCCCTACCAAAACGCCGCCCGATTCATACCCGCTGCTGCCACGACGACAACTTTACAAGTAACATTCCTGCTAAATATTCTATTCCCGCCGGCATGCGCACGCGGTCTCAGGAAGCGCTTCGTGGGTCCCTTCGGGCTGGCGGCGTGGTGGGCTTCGTCATCAACGGCGCCATCCTGCCGAGAGAAAGCGGCAACAGCGACCGACCCATGGACGCCACCAAGGTAGGCGTAGTGCGATGTGGCGGTAGTATCTACGAAACTGCTGTATGTATGTATGTATGTACGTACCGGTACCTACGAAACGTTATCTGCGTAACAGTATCTACGGAACACGGTGTCTTCGAAAAGATATCTACGAAATGGTGTCGGCACCGCGTCACGACAAACAGGTTTTTGATTGGGTGACGTTGCTGGTTGCTCGGTTGCTCAGAAGATGCTTCGTTTGGGCTGATGGGGTGATAAGAAGGCTGATTCGATGTGTGTGTGTAATTATTGTTGGTAGGGTTGGGTGCCATTGTGGTTTGCGCGACATTATGTCCTTGCGGAGTCAAGCGGTCACACGGTACCACCCTTTCTTCCCGGAAGGACCGTTTTCTTTGTTCCTCTCGCAGTTTTTTTTTTACAAAGTCAATTTAACTGAAAGGCGTCGAGCGGGTATGCAATCGTGCATATAAAGTTCACCCTCGAGTGTTTTCTGGAAATGCTGTATCGTACGGTACAGCAGCAGTTGTCCGCTACATTGCCCGGAATGGGGGGGGCGGGCCCTAAATACACGGTAGCCAGAACTCTGTGTACACACAAGATGCGCCAAGTGACCGCAAGGACGCACAGACAGCTCGGCCTCCCCCATGATGTCTCCTGACGGGGTCCCAGATCATGGTAGCCTTTGGAAGTGCTTTCTGTCGACAGCCGCCCTGAGACTGACGTATTTTCAATGATCGCCCGGTTAGCGCGGTCGATGCTACATCACAATTCACGACACAAACACGCGCGCCCCGCGGGCACTACTTTATGTGATTCCAGGCGATCCCGTTCACCAGCCCACCCTCCCTGGAGAAGACGTTCACGCTGCCAAACAGGGGCACCGTGACGGGGATGGGCATACCCCCGGGGGTGACCCTCATCGTCGGCGGAGGGTGAGCACGAAGCTAAAATGTATCCTTTCGTTTCTTCCTTCTTGAGGTATATTCCATGTTCGCTCCTGTGTAAGTAGGGTGATGTCGAGGACAACCCAACACATGGTACTCACTCTCTTACCGTTTTGGTTCATACGATATTTTTCAACAAAAAGACAAACGAATCTATATATTTCTTCTGAACTACTGCTCTACTACGTTATTTTTTCTTACATTTCTTAAATAGACTATCAACGGATCCATGACTATCCACTCTTGTGGCTTCTCACGACCGGCAAAGGCCACCATTTGTCGCTTTGTTCCCTACTTTTTATTTAAAATAGTATCGCTTGTACCGTTGCCGCTACCGCTGCAGAAGTACATGTTCGGACGTTTTTTCTTTTGCCGTCCGTGTGAATTGTGAAGTCTACTATATCTATCTTCCCCTTACTTAAAAGAGAGTAGGGTCATGTTGTTGGTGTTTCACGGTATGTACACGGTATGTACCGTGTACCGTACCGAAGAAAAGACCGTTGGGCCGTACCGAAGAAAAGACCGTTGGGATTTGAGGACACGCACACGTGGGTTGCCGCATATCCATTTCTCAAAACCGAGGGTAGTTCTTACTGCATTTCACGGTGCTCCTGAAAATCATTCGCCTTTTGCAGGGGCGGGAGGGAGGGGTGCGCATCTTCTGCCCTCAGCACTGGAGGAGATGTGCATTGTTATCCACACACAAGACATGACTCGGTGTTTGCACGATATTCTCAAAACTTTGCTCTCTGGAGGCGTTTGTGAAAAGAGGGAATCCTCCTCGACTGACCTTTGGGGATTCGTTTGCGTACCCGTTTGTGAAGGTGATCCCCCACACATTGTTTGTTTTGTTCTTCATCCCAGGTTCCACGGCAAGAGCACGATAGAGGTCGCCCTTCAGGTGGGGTGCTACAACCATATCCCTGGAGACGGCCGGGAGTTCGTTTCCGTGGAGGCCAGCGCGGTCAAGGTGAAAACGCCTCCTCTCATCATTTTTGTATGATAACAAACAGTCTTCGGGATTTTTTTTCATGAAGAAGGTGACGACCCGAAACGCCTCAGCGTGGTCAAGGTGAAACCATCCCGTCTCATACTTTTTGTGTGATCAGTCTTCGGGGTATTTTTCATGAAGAAGTTGACGACCCGAAACGCCTCCTCTCATTATTTTTGGGTAAATGGTAGTCTTCGGGGTATTTGTCATGAAGAATTTATTTGTCATGAAGAAGGAGACGACCCGAAACGCCTTCTCTCACAATGTTGTATGGTAGTAGTGTTCGGGGTATCTTTCGCGAAGAAGGTGAGGACCTGATGGGCCTCCTCTCACAATGTTGTTGTGATATGCGGTGTCGGGGCAATTTTCATGAAGAATGTGATAACCCGAAACGCCCCCTCATATGTTACAAGTATATGATAGAGGAGTGTTCGGGGTATTTTTCGTAAAGGTGACGACCCGAAACGCCTCCTGTCACAATGTTATTGTACGATATTCCTCGGGGTATTTTTCATCAAGGAAGGTGACGACCCGAAACGCCTCCTCTCAACGTTGTATGACACAGCGGTAGTCTTCGGTGTGCATATAAATTTTCATGGAACAAGAGCTGCTTTCCTCCACGAGCGTTTGTGTGCGCGTCCGTCCGTGGGCCTACGCGCGCATTTTTGGTTTTGTGTACGTCGTCGTTGTCGTCGTCGTTGTTGCCGTTGTTTATGGTGATGTCGGTGTTGTTGCTTATGTTTGGTGGTTTAGAGGATGCCGTTTGTTTTGCTGTTGTTGATGATGATAGTGGTGGTGTTGTTATCGTCTTTGCCTCGACGCTAGGCACCGCCGTTTTGGCGTTGACGCGATCCTTCCTCCTCCGCGCTAAATACAGCTAGATGATACAAGATACGAGCGCATGACATCGTCTATCAGGTAGAAGTGGAGGATAGGGGCCAGAGGTGCAGACGACAGAGTCCAATAATGGGAGAAAAAAAAAAATGTCCACCACCATCCTTGCTTGTGCTTATATTCCATGGCCTTTCAACGGTTCTTTCCATCTTGGCCCTGCGCTTTTGTCGAACGATATTCTTGTCATTGCGATAAATCAACCCGACGAGCATCGTCGGGCGTTGCCTGTCTGAAGCTGATTCTCTGTCACCGGGTACAGCCGCGGGCGGAATAGACGGCTGGCTGACTTGTTTTAGGACGACCACTGACCAACGTAACGGACGGACATGCAATGAGGAGAAGACACAGGCTGGTGCGGTGAAGAAAAAGACAGCTTCCATGGAAGTGGTTGCCAGAGTCCATCTAAGGGAGCAGCACGCCAACTTCCATGCGACAGCTACTGTAGCTCTGGTTGACACACGCACATATGCATATATTTGAGAGCGTATCAACATATACATGACGAATGGCTGTGCAAACTTAATATCTAGCGAAGGCGGTCCCGATTATCAGTTTCTGGCGAAGGCGGTCCCCATCGGGAGAAAAGTCATTTCCACAATCATACCTTCCAGGGAGGAAGTAAATTTTACTACTTCATTGGAGCTACACTCATTCCATTTGTCATGCAATGTATGCGTAGGAGATCGGAAACAGCGCACGTGCTGGCACACACGGAACGCGTAAGGATCTCAGCGGATCTCTGAATGCATTTCTGCCCGTGGGGAAGTATGTGTGCGCGTGCGTGCAAGAGATGCATGCACGTATGCATGTATGTTCACAGCAATATCTTTCTAATGCTGATGCTGATGATGATGTTGGTTGCAAGCGGACATTTGAGACGCGCCTTCGCGCCTCGTTCCGAAAACTGTTGGAGGAGACAAAAAGAGCGGTGGAGACAGGATGACGTCGGACCGACAGAAATTAGCCGGCACGGTTGCACACGCGGTCGCACACTTCTGGCGCATGCAGCACATCGGCGCACCTTTTGTATGCATGCGCTTTCGTCGTATCATGACTGAGTGGCACCTTCTTTTATTGTTGTAGGTCGTGTTGGTAACCCTCTCGGGCCACACACACTTTCATATACCCAACCACCACACACTGTGAGTAGTGAACGAAAGCCGTTGGTTACTGCAAAGCGGACACTTTTCAGATTCAACTATCAAGACAGCATGACGGCGAACCGCGAAGCGCAGAGAACGTCCGCGCACGGCCGCACATGGTCGAATACTTATGGCGTATGCAGCCATGCTTGTCCATCGGCGCAAACCGGATGTATGTGCATTCGTCGTTCCATGACTCGTTGGAACTAGGTCCCGTGGGTATCTCACTCAACCACCCACACTCTTCATTTACGTCATCACCATTTCAACGATAGTAAATGCCGTTGGTTACGGCTGCCAAGCGCACGCTAAGATTCGACTGTTTCCGAAATTGTGTGAGAAGAAGGAGACGAAGAGAGCGACCAAGGTGTCGAACAGGTGAAAATTGGTGTAGAGGAGAGTAGCAACAGTCCCCATCGTCGCACATGCCGCACACACGCGTGTGGCGTATGGTAGAGCGCGCGGCGGATGACAAAACTTCAGCGCGCGGCGGCTGACAAAACTTGGTGAGGGGCAGAGATTGTTTCCATGCCCTACCGAGGCATACTCGAGATGTCGCGAGACGCGCGTCATAGGCCGATATCGGCTTTTGAGACCCGATCGTGCAAAGGCTGGGGTATCGGAATAACAGGCGAACACGCACGTACGCACTGCGACAGGATTCAATTTCCGTCGGAGAGACTGAAGCTTACAGCTTGAGAAATGTTAGGTGTGTGTGTTTCTGTTTTGATTGTCTTTTTGCAGGTGCGGGCGGAGGACGGTCGGTGCGTGAACTGCGTGGACATCACCCCTTTTATCGACAACCTGCCCTTCGGCAAGTCCACCGACCAGTTCACCACCCCGGACGCCTCGGGGTCTACGAGCCAGGCCACCAACATCGTCGAGGCCCTCGAAGCGGTCAGTGCGCGATTGCTCCTCCTGTCGTCGTCGGCACTAATTGTTGCTGTTGTTGTTGTTGTTGTTGTTGTTGTTGTTGTTGTTGTTGTTGTTGTTGTTGTTGTTGTTGTTGTTGTTGCCGTTGTTGTTGTTGTTGTTGTTGTTGTTGTTGTTGTCGTTGACTATGATGTTGTGGATGATGAATACGATGTTTATGATGGTGTTGTTGATTACGTTGATGATGATGATGTTGTGGTTCTTCCAACGATATTCAAAGAGTATAAAGATCGGCAACCTTTTGCGTTTTTGTGTGTGCTCTCGCCTCCTCTCGTCCTCGTTCCCTTAGCCCTACCCCCCGACGCTACAGCTCTTGCGCCCACTCACGCGCACAACATCAGTAGTTTCAACGACTCTACGGGTATATTCCGTCGCCCCATCTACGAGGAAGCATTTTTCCGCTCGTATACCGGGCCTCAACACCCCGACCTACGAGTCCACACCGGCGTCTCTACCCCCCCTACCCCCCCCCCCCCCCNCCCCCCCCCCCCCCCCCCCCCGCTCAACCTCGATTACCGCTCAGGGCTGCACGACTCTGCTGGTGGACGAGGACACGTGCGCCACCAACTTCATGATCAGGGATGTCAGGATGCAAATGTGAGAGGCCAGCCGGTCATGAAAAACGGGCCGAGAGAGGCCGGGGGGATTCCCCCCCCCCTACTTCTGGAACCGGAAGCAGCTCCTGCGAAGTGTACCAAACGCACGCACGCACTCCGGCTTTTAAAGCCCTTTTTTTTTCCCCGTAGACAGGGGAAAACGCTACCGGTAACCAGTCGTGATGCCGCCCACGTTGAATTCACGGCCGCGACTGCTGCAACTGCTGCTGCTGCTGCTGCTGTTGACGACGACGACGGCCGCCATCCGTGCGAAAACGTCGCGAACGTCCGTGCGGCCGACTCCCCCCTTCACCCGTCGGCACTCGGACGCGCGTGTTTTTATTATCTTTTTTTTTTTTCCAAGGCTGGTGGCGAAGGAGAAGGAGCCCATCACCCCGTTCATCAGCCGGGTTCGCGCGCTGTACGAGACGATGAGCGTGTCGTCCATCCTGGTCATCGGGGGCTGCGGTGACTACTTCGAGGTGGCCGACACAGTCATCATGATGGACTGCTATGTGCCCAAGGTGTGTGTGTGTGTGTGTGTGTGTGTACATTGTTAGCATCGATTGCGCTAACCGGCTTGCCACTGAACAGACGCCAGCCTGAGGAGTGTGTGTGTGCGAGAGATAACGAGAGGGAGAGAGAGAGAGAGAGAGAGAGAGAGAGACTGGTGTGGCTGGCTGGCTGTCGACGTCTGCAAGCGGCTATTTGTTTCAAGTGTTGCGAAGCATAGCTGAGGTGGTGGTGGCGCTACCGTACCGAGGTCCTGCCTGTGGCGGTTTCGTCGGCGGTGCTTAGAGCAAGGGGGGTTAGGCCGCGCGTCGCGGTGGATGCGATTGCGTCAGAATTCTTCTGCAATTTTCTTTGCTGCTCCGTTGGTTTCTGTTCCTTCGCTCTGGCTCCCACGATAAATAGAGAAAAAAAGAGTCCAGGATAAATACAGTTTTTTACTTCGAGATAACCAGAACATCTCTGTGTCCACAGATAAACGAGAAAAACGTTTAGCATGTAAATATCCCTATTAATTCAATTTTTTATTGTCGTCGGGAACCGACCGACCTACCGACCGACCGCCGCGTGTACGGTACGGTAAGGACGTGACCGCGGAGGCGAAGCGGATCGCGGCGGACGAAACCGTCGGCGGCGGCGGCGGCGGCGGCGTGAAGCGGCACAAGACGTTCCACTTCGCCGGGGGCGCCAGGGTGCCCCAGGCCAGGACCTACGCGTCCCGCGGGAAGGTTGTGGCGAGGTCGAAGGACAAGATTCAGTACGGCGACGTGAGTTTTTTTATGGGTGGGGCGTTTTGTGTGTAGTTGGTGGGTAGCGCCGACTGTGTCGGGGTGGTGTTGGTAGTGTGGACACCTTGCTGTTGTCTTGGTTGTTGGTTGATCGCGCTGTCGTTTGTTTGTTTGTTCTTGTTGTGGATGTTGCCGCGCTTTCGTCGTATTTCATCGTCTTGGTTGCTGTCGGTGATGTAATGTTGTTGGTTGCATGCCCTCGTCGTGTCGAGCGGCCGAGCCCCGTTTCACGTGTTCGCCGTGAAGCTCCTTTCCTTTTCAGACAAGCGCGAAAGCGTCTCGTGTCACGTTGGCGGTGCTTGCCGCCGGCGACTGCGGCGCCGCACCATGATACTGGGAGACGCTGCTGCTGCTGCTGCTGCTGCTGCTGCTGCTGTTGCTGAATTGGCTGAGTTAAACCACGTGCATGCAATGTCATCCGCAACGCGCACACGTCGACATGGCCGTCCGCCGTTGTTATTGTTCGATGTTGCCCCTGTTGGCGCGCTACAGGTGGACATCGACCTGGGCGGTGTAGAGCAGCTGGTCGAGACGAGCCAGACAAGGGCGGTGGCAGACGCGTTGGACATGCTGGCAAGGTCTGCTATGGCCAGGAAGCTCCCCGTGAAGGTGACGCAACGTCCCGTGCATTGTTTGTTTTCCCGCCAAAAACAGGTGGGAGATCCGTGCCGTGTTTGGAGTTTGCGAGCTTTTGGAGTTTGTCTCCGTCGGTAACGCTGGGTTTCCGTGGAGGTGGGCCGGAGATCCGTGTCGTTTTCTAGGGTCCTTGCGATAGTTTCATTTTTCGTGCCGTCAAGGCGTACGGCATTAGGCGGGGCAGGGGGTAGGGATTGGGGGGCGACAAGAGTTGCCTCTCTGCACAGCGATGTGGGTGTCAGGTTCGATCGGTCATTAGTCGCGCTTTTTCCTCTTGATCGACCGGCCAGCTGGGGTAGATGGGAGATGTTTTTCAGGAAACACGCAAAAAGTAACGTTTGATGAGCAAGTAATCTCCGTGTGCTACGGCAGCATACCTGACGGGCCGGGCCAATTTGTGTCGATCGCCATTTCGAGCAAAAGCGTTGTAGGTCCGGCCTACGTGGCGACCCGTTCCCGCCACCGCACCTCACCTCCCTACGGCATGTTCTCTCGTGCACGTTGACGGCTCATGGCTTGCCTGCTGCTCCTGGTGCTTCACTACCATGGGTGACATGACACAAGGCCCCACGCCCCATGGTCCATTTTCAAAACTCAAATGCTCCACAGTAGATCGCATGGCGGTGCCGAAAATGGGAACCCCCTCGTCGGGATCTTTTCCGAAAACATATATTGGCATCCTCTTCGTTATGGAGTAGTCGAGCTTTGAAAGTCGATCCAGGGGGTGTAGTTTCTTGTGTCATGTCACCTACGGTACTACTGCCGCATGCCACTGGGGCTGCTCGCTACAGCTCGTGCTAGGAGAGTTCTGGCCTTAGAACTTTGGGCAAATGAATCACGGCGATTACATACATTCATTTTTTGCTCTGGGCACCCGCACGATAACACAGGACTTGCTGGACTTCTTGGAAGCCGAGATGGACGCTAAGGGCCTGGACGCCCTCATGCCGGGCGCATTCATGGCAAAGTACGCCAGGCCGCGGCGATTCGAGGTGTGTTTCCTGTGTGTATTTTTCATTGCCATAGACCGCGCTTACCGGCTGAACAATGAAATGGCGTCAGTCTCAGCGCGGTTGAAAACAGAAACGTACCAGGTATGTGTCTTCAATTTTAGCATCGACCGCGCTAGCCGGCAGATAAACAAAAGCAAGTCAGTCTCAGTGCGGCTGAAAACACAAAAACACTTCTGAATACCATTGACTGCTGTGTGCGTGTGTCTTTGTGATTTTTTGTTGTGAGCATCGACGGTAACCGACTGACCAATGAATAGACGCCAGTCTCGTGGCGGGATGAAAAACACGAACAGGGTTTGTCAAGGGTAAGGGTTCTACCGACAGGGGGGGGGTGGGGGAGGGGGGGGGTACTCATAGTCGTGTATGCCGTAGTCGTTAGACCATTGACCTCGCATCCCTACAAAGCCGGGACGGAGCACGCCGGGTTCTCACCGGACCAGGCTCTCACATATTCAAGCGCGAAGCGCCGTGAGATATTCGGCGAGTCGCATGAAGGGTGCGCTGCATCCT